CACCCGCACCTATAACCTGGGGCTGGTATAATAGGCCAGAAGTGGCCACAGTAGAAGGGACTTAGTCCCACCCCACTAGCAATAAAACAAAAAACAAAAAAAACTAAGAATTATAGTTCATAGGTTTGCAAGAAAATTTCAATCCAACCTACAGATCTAAGACAGAATTTGTCCTAAAACTTATTTCATTTTGAAGCCGTCTGCAATGTGAGACACCATGTAGTACAGTAGAAAGAGACCAGAGTCTCAGAAAAGCCTGCTGTCACCATCTTCTACTCCACATATTTACTGTCATGATAACCTCAATCTCACTTATCTTGATTAATAATCTGTGTTTTGAAAACAAAATAATCTGTTTCGTTTGGATTATTATGGCAGCAAGACATATTTATGACAAATTTATATACAAATACATAAAATGGTATCTCAGTGTACTGTTAATTGGTTTCATTAAAAAATGAGATTAAAAGTCATGGTCAGTGACATACTCAGAGCACGCTCAAAATGAACTTCCATAAGATTATCATATAGACAACAATGATGTTGAAGAGTTCTGTGTTCTGGGATATAACGCTGCACAGTCCACTGATAGTCATCTGAACTCTGGAGGCGGCATGAGGCAAGAAACCAGTATGAAGCAAGCGGCATGCTTGCTGCCTGCCTTAGGTTGGTTTCTTGTTTCGCTTACTCTTCAACCACTGGAGATGGAAGTGACATTTCTTCCAAAACATCAGCTGACTTTCAAAGGACTACACGGCATTATGGTCCAGAAGATACAACTCTCCGTAACCCCTGCTATGAGTACCTGAACGTCTTGCAACACTGATGTTGATGTGTTACCGTGTATAAGGTTTTGAAGAGCTGCAGCCCAGATTATAGTACGAACTACAGCCCCAGTGGGCCTAGGCCTACCTCCATGAACTTCTCCGTTCACTTCGATTTTTCTAGATCTTAGACATTCGGTAGGACTCCTTGGGCGGGTGATCAGCTCGTCGCAAGGCCTCTACCTGTACACAAACACAGAAAAACGCACACAAACATCCATGCCCTGAGTGGGATTCGAACCCACGATCCCAGCTTCCGAGCGAGCGAAGACAGTGCACGCCTTAGACCGCTCGGCTACCGTGACCGGCTGGAAACACACCTATCATTTTAATAATCTGCTAGTGAATGGAAAATAAGTGCTTAGATAGGAAACTGTCTTACCTTTCAATGAGATCAAGCCTTAATTGGTGGCCATGTGGCAGGGTGCACAGCTCAATGCCACAGCTGATACCCAAACCTAGGTCTCCCTCCCAACATCCACTGGTCCTTGCACCACCACCAATCGTAAGCTCCAGATCCACCCGGGTCAAGTGGTTTGCCAGTATCCTAGGTCCTGTTTCCTGAAGCATCATCTTAATTCCCTGCAGTGCCGTCGTATCTAGTGGCTTGTTCTCCAATGTTGGAAGGAGCAGAGTTTGGAAATTTTCCAAGTCAAAAGCCGACGGTGGATCTGGATCGGGGACTGAGAGTAAGAGAAGAGAGTCTTCTGCCGCAGAATCGTATTCAAGAGGCTTCAAAGTCGATGATGAACATGAAGTGGCAAGTGCTGAGTTGCTCAACTGACGAACGTGCCCATGATAGTAGCGTGGATTTTTAATTACAACCCCACCTGAGCGATGGTGGGATAATGTCGAAGAGTTGATAGAATCGGTTGTATCACCTGCTGCTGAACTCTGAGCGGAATCTCCAGAGCCATTTCCAGAATCACTTCCAGAGGCATGATAAGATGCTACTCTCTGGAAAGTACCATGATGTCCTTGAGCTAAAGAGGAAGGGCTAGAGTCACAGCCAGTGGCCAGTACACCAGTTAGACGTCCATTTCCAGAACCATTATCCTGATGTGCACTATCACTACTGATCTTCTCTGGCAAGGGAGGAGCAGTATTACCACTGTTGTCTTTTGAGTTTGTGCGCATGATTGAGGGTACACGACTAGGTTTAGGAGGAGGCTGTTCTGGCAGTATTCCAGAATCACCTTCTAAGTCCTGAAGTTGTTGATTATCACCAATAAAACCAAACCTGCGTCTCTCTAGACAAGGACTGAGGGCTGGGTCACTCGTGACACGCACCATTTTGCCATTTTTCGTCGGCAGAGTTGCAGATCCAGATACTGGTGAATGTTGTTTAGCACAGGACATCCCTGCTGATCGCGGCAGAGAATGTGTAGAGAATTTACTTCCGCTGTTGGTCGTCACAGATTCATGGTATGCTGACCTTGTCATAACCGAGTTCTGTATGACTCCATCTGCACTGCTGCTCTTCTCCTGTGGCCCACTTGGTGATATGATCTGTTGAGGTCTTCCATTGATTTCTGCTGGTGTCAGAGATTGACTCCTTTGTTTCTTACTGGGTAAACGTGGAGGTGTCTCACGTTTAGTTCTAGGTGGTGAGTGTACTGGGCTCTTGTAGGAATTATATGGGTTGTAGCGGAGTGTACCAGCAGCTGCCGTTAAGGGTGAAGCAAGGGGCGAAACAACACATGAGCCACCTCCTCCTCCACTGCCAGTCATCTGTTGTTGGAGACCATATTTAGTTGCATAGAAAGATAAAGGGTAAAGACGGTTTCTTGGTGCTTGAATACGAGCTCCAGAGGCTGAAGAAATAGCTTTTCCGCTACCCACATAGAAGGTGATGAGATCAGGCACAGTGTCGTATGCATCATCCTCAAACTGGTACTGTACACGCTCATACACAGTGTCTGGCTGAATCACAACCTGTGAATTACAGAGAAGCTTCACAAATGCTGTTCTATTATAATCAAGCATGATATGTATGGAATTCATGTTCATAAATATCAGAACTAATCCTCAACTGGTGTTAATTATTTTGTAAAATAATGTTTAATGTTTATTAGAATATTATTTAACAACAAAGTATGGTGCTGTCTTGTCTATTTCAGTTTAGGCCAGGAAAATGCACAAATCCAAGGAGTGTCCTTGGAAATAAAACTTTTGTTTAAAATATATACAAAAATAAGAACACCTAACAACAAGAACAGTATACAATTGGGCCAGAAATTAATTTAGAATTTATTCCACTAAAATATTTTAATATTTATAATGATGAAATAATTCTTCCAGTTAATAATACTAATTCATTATTGTATTTATAAAATCATTAAATTTTTCCCATTAAATGAAATACTTTAATAATCAGCCAAAATAATTATGCCATTTAAAGCACAATGAGTACGTACCACGTGCTTTAACTTTACAGGTGGTCCGCAAGCAGACTTAAATTAAATTAAAAATTATCCAATCAAAACAAATTACAATTAAATAAGCAAGTAAAAATCAATTATATCATACTGTTTACTTGTTTAATAAAGCTTAAAACTTTGTTCAATGATGATTCACTTTTAATACTTGTAGTTTACTTCCAATTCAATTAATTATGTTTCCACATGTATTCAAAACATGCTTCTAGATTTATTATGTTATAAATGGCAAAGTATGTCTCAAATGTTGGTAATACCACATAGGTTTAAAAAAATATGCCTACATAACTTAGTGGTCCCTGGATTTTTTTTCAGACATTTTACTGGTCCTTGGGCTTAAAAACGTTGAAAACCACTCCTATAAGGTATTAATCAGTTGTCTTTACAAAGTAGATGCAGGATGTTTTCAGTAAGAAACCGAAATTTGAAATACTGTTTGGATGCACTTAATGCTTATGAATTAAAATGTAGATTGTTGGCATAACTGTAAGGGAATAAATACCATGCATCATGTTTTATAGATTCGTTTTTCATAGAAAAACATGAATGAATACATTGCTTGAAAGATCATAATTTAACTTGACTTAACAATTCCCCATATAACATCGCTGACAATACCACATTTAGATAATGAAAATTATTAGGTAAGCCACTATGGATCTGTTGACAAGTCTTATTGAAAAAGGAACATATGTATGTATAGCTGTACCAATAGTAACAACCAATCTTAACATTACTTCCTCTATATATTTGGGATTTCTCGCATTAAATTGCACCAAAATTATGCCCACGGTTATGAGGATTGAAAGTCACACAATGAAGATAAACGGACTTCCCAATAAATATGCAAACATGGAATCCTCATGAGAAATTCTTCAAGCCAGGCATGCTTTATGAAAAAATAAAACTGTGTAAGGAAGAACCTGTTTAGGTTTTGAGGCTTATTAAGATGCTCTTATCAAGAAGATTAACACCTGATACACCTGAGGATGGCAGAATGATGCTGAAACATGTAGTGTGAAGTGACAAGTGAAACTGTATGCACTAAAAGACGGTAAATATATACACATTACGGATATGATTAACAAAGTTGTTAAGCAAGTGACTCGCGTTCAGATGTGTCCGGAGATCGTCTGTCGCGACGGAGATTTTAATTTGTGGATTTTCCCCATCTCTGCAGTTAAGTAACGGGTTGGGGACTTAGAAGGCCCAGGCCACCTTTCTTCCATAGTCCTCTGGATTTAATCATACCACCTGCTACTGTACAAACTTCTCTGCTGATACAGCGTCACAAAAAGAGATGGCTGAAGGTAATATCTTAATGAAAGGAAAGAACTGTCGACACTTTTGACGTTAACTGACTCTACATGTACATTTGTATGTTTATTCATTACTACTAAGGAGTTGTATAGTATTTTTTTTAGAGAATAAATTCAACAAGAAACAAAAATAACTTGTAACAGTAAATAAGATGTGCCTCGGATTGTTATTAGAAGGAGCGTTACTTAACACCATTCATCAAGCGATGCGTACAGCTGAAGGACGTCTTGATTTTGTTCCGTTTTACGTTATTTTATTGCCCGTATTATGAAATTACAGTTAACCCGCGATGTAAGTTATTGCCAAACATTTCGAAGTGACCTGATTCCGTAGATACCTTGTTGATGACAAAGTGGAGACTCTGGCCCTTCCAACGACAAGTGAGGACATAGTTGCCCGGCTGTGAAGTGCAGTCCCTGACGAGGAAGTCGCCGTCCCTGTCCACGATCTCTTCCGCGCGCTGCCTCGGGATGGCCCCGTGATACCACGCATGAGATCTCAGGTCACGCGTGTCCAGACTCAGCTCCCATTCGAGTGCCTTCTTCAGCTGCGACGGGTCGGCCGTGGGATCGGGCGTCGCCTCCTGTAACAAACGAGGGAGCGTGTGCACTTCTTGTAAACGAATTATGTACTTAGGCGTTATGGATCGGCCCAAGCGGCCTCCGTAGTCTAGGGGTAACGTTCCCACCTCATGACTCAAGGTACGCGGGTTCAAACCCGGCGAAGGTCGTGGAA